TATATAATTACGATCCAATATGCAATAATCTTTACATTATTTTACTAAATATGTATTCTTAGGATGTAGAGAAAATATTCTCCAATTATGAAGTTTGTTTCCTAGGAATGGATATAGATATTATTATGAAGTTGGCTGTGTCTTTGTTCAACAATTCGCGCACACATGAAATTTGCCTTACACCTTTAGTCCTTTACATGATACAAATTCATAAGCCAAGTACAGAATCGCAGAATTATTCAACTAAATCGCAAAGTAACCAATAAGAGTCATAACAACAGTGTAAATAATTGAATGAGAAAAGAGCAGCCCAAACATGTTGTAGCACAAACTGCAGTACCAAATGTAGTTGGCCACTGACTTATTTGATTCAGCATAAAAGCATAAACCCAATCATCTATAAGTAGAAGAGAAAAAAAAAAAAAAAAAGAGTTTGGCTAAGCCCTATAGCCTTTTATCCTTCCCACCGGATGTTGAAAGGAGATAAATAAAGCCCCCTAAATTTGTTGAACTTCTCTTCTGTCTCCTCTGGCTACAAAAATAGAAGTGCGTTTTCTTGTCGGCGAAACGTATTGAGATATCAAATGTGACTCAGTCTGATATCCTAAACTCCACTCCTAAAACTTCTTTCACCATCTCATATGTCACAAATGCAATCGCAATGGATGGTACAACCTATATAAGAAACACAAACAACATTTAACTTCCATGAGAAAAATTGGTTCATCTAATAAGAAGATCAAGATATAGGGCTTTGTTATCAGACAAACCTTCACTGAATTGGGGACCAAACCCTTGTACAATGCTCCGAAGCCTTCATGACGAACTGTTTTTCTAAATGCATCCATCATACCAGTGTATTCAAGCAAAGCTTTGCTTCTCCCTTCGCCTGTAACAACAGCGGAAGCATCTTTCCACCCGACCATTTGCATTCTCCTACGAATCACATCCAGTGGATAAGCAATTGAAATTTAACTTTTACGTATCCTTTTTAAGATTATCTCATTATTATTCTTCAAAATCGACGTGCTTCCCTTAATCGGTAAACGTGAGTGCGTGACGACGAGTTTTATACTTTTGACAGATAATTACTAATATTACACCATTTTCAGATATGTGTTACTCAATCGCATAAATTGTAAATATTTTATAGATAATGAAAAACTGTTTACAATGCAAATATTTGAAACCTATAGACATAGTTCCATGACAAAAAAGAGTCGTAAATATTTGAAAGCTATCCAGAAGTGGCATAGGAAACACAATCAGAACAACCAAAAGACGATAGAGGAGAAAAAGGAAAAACTGGATCAGGCCTTGACAGACACAACCCCGGATCTAGCTCTTATACAGACACTCTCACAATCTCTGAGAGAAACTTATGAGGCAGAGGAGAATTATTGGAGACAAAGAAGCCGTCAACTTTGGCTAGCTCTTGGAGATCGAAACTCATCTTACTTCCACGCAACCACAAGAGGAAGAAGAGCCCTTAACCGGTTCTCCGTGATAGAAAACGATGATGGCACTGTCTTTTTCGAAGAGGAACACATCACTGCAGTCATCTCGGAATATTTTTCAAATATTTACAGCTCCCAACCAAAGGAATCTTCGGGGATCATACATAAGCTATAA